CCAAGTACTTCGTCGACGCGAGTACGATCGCGAAGGTACGAAATGGAATTGTTCGATGAAATTGTTCGATGACCGAGATACTTTAACATCTAGTGTTGTAGATGATCATTGTAATTTGACGAATGTCGATAGCGAAACTACAAAACAGATAACTAACTGCTGGAAGAATTACCGTTGCGTTTCTCTTTATTCCTTGTTCCACGATGAGTTTCAAATTGGTGGGTTTCAAAAATAATTCTACAAGGTATAATTGGTTTCTACCGTTCAGGTAGAATACATACATTTCTAAGTATACATATCTAAGTATTTGCAATTAATTAGATCGATATTGCAAGTCGATGGTTGTATCGCGCGCAACACGAACGGATAAAAATGGAATGGTAATTGCACGATGGACAACAATCGCACTATTAACCAAGGAAAGTAGTATGAAAGGTACAATTAACGGCGGAAGAAAGTCAAACCGCGTTGAAAAGACGACGATCCACAACAGGAAGATTCAGAGCCGAACGATCGTTTCGCAGACCATTGATCTCGGCTTTTACGCTGATGATTGTTTCTTTTTCTTCTTGCCATGGCATAACAGAACGTTACCAATGCTACCAATTCTTGTTGCCTTTATTTATTTCTTCTAAAAAAAAAAAAAAAGAAAAACTAGCAAATTCTCTCGATTTTGTTGTTTGTCACTTCCAATCGCTTTGAATTACGCTCAAAGCATAAAAACGATATCAATGGTATTAATATCGTGAACCAATACGAGGGAAATTAATCGATTATGTGATAACTTTAAACAGGCGATTCTCCGTTGTGTTTCAATTAGTAGCTGTTGGTAAAAAAGACGATAAATTTTCCACGCGAATGATAAATTCTGAACGCAACGTCTAGTCCTTTTCTCTGTTGGCAAAATTACACGACATGTTTACGGGCGTCTGAATTTCACTTTATCCGATCTACATAAATTGTACGAACGGGGAAAGTAGATTTAACCAATTGTAACCATTTTTCCTTTATTTTAATTTCATTTTAATCTGCGTATCTTTGCAACAGGTTATTCGCTATTACTTTGCTACATTTTTTTTCGCATTTTATAGTGTAGAATGTCATTCAGCGTTACTAGAACATACTGCGTTATTATTATTCGCCGACCGTGAATGATGGCCGAGGTTCTTACCCGAAATTTTACAGTTCAGTAGGTACGCTCAACGAGTAAAAGCCGCCGCGGCTCTTACTTTAAGAAATCGGCTCTGCTGTCGATCAGGTCAAGAAATTACTCGTAAATTTTGTTAAAAATTATGATTTCTACTGTCGTATATCATTTTCGAATCACAAGTGCTCTCCGTCGAGCGTACCACATGCATTTCAAAAGATTTCTAATGTTAAAGTGTCAACGATTTAACTGCAATCTCTTCCGCGATTACGCGTACTCTGCCATCTTCATTCAGATCGGTGTTTCCGTACGAAAGTTAAGAGAACGTAAATGTCACCTCTGTGCGTATCGGGTAGCACGAGACAAAAAAAAAAAAAAAAAGAAAAAGAGAAGAAAGAAGGAGCAGCGGTCACCAACATCGGTGAAAGTTATTCCGACATTCGTCACGATTTTGTAAATCGAGAACGCTTAAAAAGTCGGAATATAGAACGATTCATTCTCTTCTATTGTTTAAATAGTTCGATTTAGTAAAAACCACGGCAAACAAGAGGCGAAATTAATTTGCAACTAATTCGTAACAACGGAACGAAAAAAAGGAAAACGCGACTATATTTTTCAATTTTTTCCCATCGTCTCAAACGTCTTGCAAACTTTCTGCAACATGTCCATCCATTGTAATTTCCTGTATAAATTACGTTGACGGTACATCTCGCAGTTTATACCCCGGCTCGATAGAAAATTTTCCTGCAGATTGCGAAATTAAACTGGATTCCAAGGAAAACGTGCTTTCTTCCTTGTCAGTTCCCTGTCAGCTCCCTCCTCCAGATGAGAGCGTAATTAACGACAATTAGAAGAGAAAGAAATTTTGCTGCGAAAGTGACTTTTCTATTACGAAACACGGTGCACAGAATATTTTGTTTTAATTGAAGTCGAGTTGCTGCCAACTGCAGAGTTTAAAAAAAGGAAAGAGAAGAAAAGGAAAAGTCACTCTGATGAATTCGTAATCCGTGAGCAGTGATTTTCTCATTAATTTGTTTAGCTGGCCTACATCTACGGCGACATTTCGACATCCGCGTTTTGTGAATCACGCGAATATCTAGTTTAGATGTAGATATCGATCGTGAAAGAGGCGGAGATGCACTTGTCCGGTGCAACGAACCGCGCCGCACGAAGGAAAAAAGAAGAATAGAAAGATGGAAAATTAACGTAATGGCACATTTAATCCATCATATTCCTTTTTTTTTCTTTTTTCTTTTTTCTTTTTACTCATCGGGTGTCTCGCGGAATGTTTCGTACAAATATACGAATAAAACGACGACATGTTTGTATGATGGAATATCTCGCATACAATACCTATAACATGTTCGAAATATCATACATCTATATTCGAAAAGATCGAATATTATAATTTCTCAGTTGTCTTACTTGTCAGACAGATCGGATAAAGATAACTTTGGAATTTTTATTGAAATAATTTCGAGCGAAAGTAGCCGGGGTGGGGATAAAGAAAGGCAGTAAACTGTACGAAATATACATTTCTGATAGTCAATACCTGTCGAAGTGATTTGATGATCTACGTGTGTATCGACTGGCACGAACAGTAAGATACTCGTGCAGTAAGATACTCGTGTGGATACTTTCTCTTACGCAATATTTTCCTTTTAATAAGCGTGGCAAATCGCGCGCGCGTTTGTTTCCTCTAATAATTTTCACGCAATCAGCGATGAACAATCACATTCTTAGAAAAAGACAAAATGTACCGGTCACAGTTTCACGCGAAACGGCCATTAATTTCTCTGATAGCGCTGCTTACTTTGTGAAATAACCGCTCGTTCAACGTGAAATCTTGACTAATGTATTCTTCACGTCCCATCGTAAGTAGGTACGCACCGTATGTGTAACATCGAAATTTTTTTTATCTATTATTTAATAATATTATAATCATTATGCACGTTCAGATTGAAACGTTCCATTGAACGTATATACTCGTCGTATCTTCCATTTGTCGTTTATTTCTATCTCTCGTATTAAAGAATAAAGTTGAACAAGTTTAACATTACTACGATATTTGATTAGTTCTGTACGTTTTGTACGTGTGTAAAAATGAGAAGTAAATTACACGGACGCGCGTAGCGAGGGTTGAAAATCAAATCTTTCAAACTGGTCAGATCACGAACGAAAAGTATAACATTTTGAGCAAATTACAGGAAATGAAAAAAGTAAATTCTTCTTTTTGAATTATTTTTCCTTGTTTCCAATTTTCCGGGATTTCTTGTTTTTTCCACCGATGAAAGGAGACGGGTTGTCGAAAGTTTCCGCACGTACATACATCTGGGCGCGGTGTTTGGATTAACTTCTCTTTCGTGATTCGCAAACTCGATTTAGAACCGATTCCATTACCATTATTGCTATTAATGCTATTTTCGTAACGCACGCGAATACTGAGAATACCTTACATAGAAGGATGCTCGATCTGGCGACTCTGTTTTCCTCGAGCATCTCCGATATTTGCTTCGAACGTACAAAATTGGCAAATATCGTTCTTGACCTTTCGCTCGCTATTGCCTAGTTCGTGAGTAGACGGCACCATATATATTTTATTGGTTGCTTTCGGAAATCAACGCACGATGATACGATCGGTTGATCGTTTGATAAATACATATTTATAAGAAGCACGGTTTAAGTTAATCCGGTTAATCAAGTTAATCGTTTCTTTGGCGAGCGATCCACTATCCTATTACTACTTACTAATTACATTCGATTCTCATTCGAACGTTATCTAAAAACGATCGCTGTACCGGCGTAGATCGTTAATTCTATAATTCGATTGGATCGTCCATCCATCTTGATATTTATACACCGATATACGTATGTACATCGATGCGAGATGATCGTACTTACATTTATTGTAATTAAATTCACTTATTAATTAACACTTGAGCATGTATTTTAAAGTTAATCTTCTTTCACTGCAACGAGTATTAGATACGTGTAAAATTCGATCATATTGCTTGATTCGATTTCCATCGACGGATATTATCGAACATTTTTCTTCAAAATTCCTTAACCGTGTCGATGAAGCAATCGTATATCTCTAACCATAGATTATTTTATCAATATCGATTATTGTTCCCCTGAGGGATAAATTTGGCTGATACCAATGTGATACTGTCTGCTGATACAGATATTATGTACGAAAATAAACATCGACGTTATACCTGATCGACATAAAAAGTAGACTCTTAAAAATTACAATTTTCATACTTGCGATTTACAGTTGGGGCAATTTATGGCAGGTATAATATGAATAACATAGATCGGTTCAGCTTGTAGTTTGATTTTAATGGATAGGTAAGTTGACTAATGAATACGGTGTACATACTATTACCTACACGTACAAAGCATTTTCTCAGCAGTCGTCATGCCACGATATTTACACGATTATTATAATTAACGAGAAACGTTGGAAGCTGAGATCACACACCGATAAGAATTACAAATAAAGCAATTCCGAAACACGTTTCGTGATGAAAAAAAATCGCGTTGCATCGACAAATAAATTAATCGTTGTAAACAAGAGTGCGTGTATTACATTACGATGGATTATAACGTAATGACTCGAGCATAATTTAGGAATCCGCGAAAACAATGTATCGTGGCACTCTGCTGCGAGTGGTATCGGCTATAGGCGATATAATTGATTTTACGTCTGTGGAACGAATTTCAGTTGGTTAACACGCGATGGATGGAAAGGCGAAATGAGAGACGAGAATAATAACGGGCGACAGGGTTAAAGTCTTATTTACATATCTGTACGTACTTATATGGACGAGCGTCTGAGAATGTCGCTTACCCGGATTATCAACCGAAGACTGAAGACTGAAGACCGATTGGCAGAGGAAGAACAGAACTCACGCGAATATGACGATACCAGGGACGCGAAATCGGAGATCGCGATTGCGTGTGTCGATCGCAGGAAAGAAAAGCCCCGGTTGGAGATAAATTCACAGCACTTGGCCACAAGCCGTGGTTGTCCAACCGGTACTGCGCGCTCGAAACTCGAAACGATACGGAAAAGATCGGCGAGCGAAGACCAGGTCACGCGAGTGTTGCCTCTGTCTTTGGCCGATGCCCGTTCCTTCCTCGCTGCTACTCGTTGCTCGTTACTCGTTACTCGTTACTCGCTACTCGCTACTCGCTGCTACACGACCACGGGAACCACGTTGCTGCCCCCTCCTTCTCGCCGTTCTTTCTTCCTTTCCTCTTTGCTTCTCACTGTGCTCCGTTACTCCTTCTTCCGCTTACGTCGCGTTGCATCGGCTAGCCTTATCGGATTGTTGGTTGGTCCGTTCGTTTGTTCGTTCGCTCGCTCGTTCGCTCGCTCGCTCGCTCGCTCGTTCGATAGATCGATACACGAAGCATAACCGATTAATATCCAACAACCGAGTCGCTTCAAAGAACAATTTCACTCTTTCTTTTCCTTGTTTTCTTTTTTTTTTTTTTTTTTTTTTTTTTTTTTTTTTTTTNTTTTTGTTTTCTTTTACACGTCGCGATGTTTCACGCTGGAAATATTTTTAAGAACGAGCCAAGATATCGGTTTTTATCATTTGCCTCGATCTGTATATGGTAACGTAAAAATGTTTCTAACCAGATCGTCGATATTTTTTGCAAATTTATAATTTCACGATACCACAAGCCATTAAGAGGAATGCGCTATCTCTTTAAAAAACAGAATTCATTGGATCTTGCGCCTATATTAACACGAACGATGTGTACTTTTTCTGAAGTCTTCTATTTTGTACGATATACCATGTTACATGTCTAGACGATGAGAGTTTACAAGTAGTTGTAGATTAGAGCAACGAATGTGCCTAGTACGTGTTCCACAGTTCTTCTAGCTACCGTTACTCTTCTCCTTTTCGCTGCATGTTTTTTCGCTTCTTCCGTCCATTTTCTATAACCGTATCACTTAATCTTTCTCCACGCGAAAGGAGATGCTAGATGGTAATGAGATAAATAATTGAAACGCGTGTCAACTGCTCCAGTATACGATTAAACGTGCAAACTGTCCCACGATGCGATCCTACATTAAAAAAATTAATAAAAAATATAGAATAAAGTTTATTTTACAATCTGCAATCACTCTATTAGATAATTAATATCTTTATCCTTTATGGTAATGAATAATGAAGAAAGTGTATGAATCGTAACTTTTCTGCAGACTCACTTCTTACTGATTCTGCCAATAGCTACAAAACGGTAGGGTTGCACACCGCTGATGAAAGACATGTTTCTGTTTGAAATTTTTTCATAAATTTAACTATCCATTTATCATTTAAAGATCGTCGTTGAAACTCGTTGTTACCCGGTATTTATGCAGTGTTCCGTCACATTTATTATCTCAAAGCGATTAAACTTTCTAGCAGGTTGATTTATCGGCGAAACTCAATAACACGCAAGGATTCGTGCGAATTTTCTTGATGGCTCGAAGTTTATTAGGCTATGACTATGACACGTTATATATCGGACAGTTTTTTATCTAATTCCACGTACCAAGTAGCGCGTCAACGTTTAGCAAACGAAGGAAAAAAGGAAGGAAAAGATCTGCATGGAAAAACTGTTTCACCATTTGATGCATCAGTGCGTTCCGCAATGCGTTTTCATTCTTCTCAACAGATTCTTAACTGACATTCCGGCATTCATCTCGCAATTTTTTACAGTTGTGACACGTCGCTCGTGTTTAAAGTTTGAGTATAGAACGATGAAAGAATATCGTGTGTTTCTGTTTCAGCAATCATGGAGCATCACGTTCCAAAAACGAGATAACACGCGTTTGCCTTTCCAACCGATCAATTCTCCACGTATTAATACATTCAAATATAAATATAACGCGAAAGTTCAACGTGCTTCTTCGTGTTATTTTAATGCGTAAAAACGTCATGTAATATACATTTTTTAAGTATAGGTAATTCACGATGTTATCCATATAGATTCTAATGTTTTTCTTGCTTTTCCACATTTCGGTTTCACTAAAAACCACGCAGTTTCATATATCAACATGGCAAATTGCTATGATCAAATTTGGATTTAAATTTCCTTTATTTTTAATCTACTGTTTTTTGCACGTTGATTTTCCTACTAAGGGCTAATTTCATATCAAAACTCTGTAACATTAAAAAAAAAAAAAAAACACCAAATTAAATACTGCAAAAATTATGTTCGTGTACAGAGCTCGTTGCCCGTATATACAATTATTAAACGTTTTAGAAAAATATAATACTTGTAATCTCTCTTGCAGCTGCAACTGATTAATTAGTGTTCCAATTTTCTTTTAGCAGCTAGATCATCGCTCACGTTCTAACGTAATTACAAAACCTTAGTTATATATAAAAAAATAAATTGGTTTAATTTGTTTTTGATTACAGATATGTTGATCAACTGCCAGCCATACACACCAGCGACACTCTTCGTGAAATTTTACACTAGCTTCGAAAATGAGGTATTGCATATACGTACACATCTACTTTCTTATTTACTCTTTGTTACATTTATTACAACTTTACTCAATTCGGAAAGTACTTAATACATGAAAAATTGGAAAAAAGATAATTACAGACCAAGTTTTCCTTCTATAAAATACTCATAAAGTATACGTTTAAAGATTTTACAACTCGAATGCCCTTATGAGGTAATTAAAAAATGTCAGAAACTTTACATTTTCTATGGAATAAAATTTATAAATTTTCGTTTGTTCATTTTCTGACTGCAGATACTGAAAGATTCTTTTGTTGTAATTAATTTAAAGAGGCCCGCTTAACTCGTGACTCTATCGGTAACTTGCTGGCATCGATTATGTAATTTTAAAAATATTTATTCTTGTATTTTCTGGATCAAATATCGTATAAAATTAAAACTGAGGTTTTAACTAAAAAGATTCACTCGCAAAAGTTTTAAAATCAATCTTGTAAATTAATTTATTTTATAATTGAAAATTTGTTCAGTTATGGACACCAAAACACTAGCACCACGTAGCGATAAAAATGTGAAACTAATCAACCTGTGTATCGATCTAATTTAAAAATCTTTATTCATGCGTCTTATAGAAATGAATGGAATACTACAAGAAAGATAAGAGTCTAAAATCGACGATGGAATTTCAAAATTTTCTAAATTCAAGCTCCTAATTAATGTTTTTGGAATTAAAGTATATAGTATCTCAATTTGGACATGGTGGCTCTATCTGTCGACGAACATAGGTACTAACGGTGCCGTTAACGTAGTACTGAAATTTATCGAGAGTTGGCGCAACATACATCATCAGTTAAGTTAAACAGTAAATGGTTGTTCGAAATACGCGCGCAATGATAGCTCGAGGAAAGATCGCAACGCCAATGAAGCAGTATCGATTCTCGATATTTGTCGCGATCGATCTATAGTGTTAACGTGTAACGTACGAGTATCAGTTTTAGGCGGGAAGTGCAGCAAAAAGAAAGAAATTTTACGCAGAAATTAGCAGGTAAAACGTTGTTGTTCATAGCTGTTTTCAATTTGTAATTGCTGTATCGAATACGTATACGACTCAGAATAGTGAGCATTATTGAAAAGATTAATGCACAAAACTATCTGAACTAACCAAACAAACTAACCAAACAAAATTTCTCATGTTCACTATATCTGCCGTATCACACTTTGCACATTTTGCATTGACAATGTAATAAAACACGATTACCGTGGCTACATTGGTTAATGTTAAAATTCTTTCTGCTTGTAAAATATCAAACGTGTATCACATTGATTTCCAACGTCTTTCGTCTCATTAGTACACTCATCTCCTAACAGATGGAGCAGCATGTCTTCCAGAACACTTTTCATCTTTCGTCACTTTTATAAATATTTACGCAAACTCTGTTCTATTAAAATGACAACATTGTTAACTAATGAATTATTTTGAATTATAAGGCCACGACATATTTTTTTAAATTTTTACTTTTAGCAAAAAATTTATTAATTGGAATCTCATGAATATAATAATTACCTGATATTATAATTAGATATAATTTTCAAGACACTTTTACACTCAGTATTTTGAGAACTAGGAGCTATTCTTGGATTTTAGGATTTTGAATTTCGTATCGGAAAATTTGGCAGATGGCATATGAAATCCCTGGAGCCAGCTGTGCTTCTGGTATTTCAATTTTTCTGAAAATTTTTAAACCTCTGTATTTTGGAGACCAGGAGCTATTTTTGGCTGGGGTTTTAGATTTTGTATCAGAAGAACATCGATCCTTGGAGCTAGCTGTTCCATTGGTCGATCGAATGAAAAATTTATTGCTGTTTGCAATGTGTTCAAATGAACTTTATTAATTGAATTCCGTTGTAAATTTTTATATTTTTTAAACGCATTTTCTTTGAACGAAGATAGCGATGAACAACTGTTCGTTGATAGTTAGTAATTAATTTCCCTCGTTTCCCATAATTTTATTGTACATTATCTTTCCCCTGTATTTCTGTTATACGTTCGCAATCGTAGTAAGTTCGTTGTCTGAATGTCAATTGTAAGAAAAACTGTGCGGTAGCGAAAAATTTTTGGCAATTTTATATTCTCTTTGCGATACCAAGATTTGAAAGAAAAGAGAACATTTCCACATTTGACTATCGGTTTTCATCGTATTCGATGTCAAACATCTGCCTGTGTTTGCCTCACGTCGGGGTGCAGATAAGAGTGAAAAAGCACCATATGCCGCCATAGATTAACTTTTCCACGCTTGTGTATGGATTAAATTACAAAATTACGAGTAACGTCAATATCATCTCTAAAAAACTTATGTACAAGAAGTTAATGTTTAGCTGCTCGGTTTTTGTTCTCTACAGCTCAAAATGTCACTCGTGTCGTATTTTCTTTCAAGATGTTTCCTTCCTTCCCTCTGTTTTCGCAATCAGTTACACGATCGTTTATTATTATTCAAATAATTTTTATTTTTTAATCTCTCTAGAAATGTTCACGTCTATTTATACTTGGTCACAACCGATTGTGAGGTAAAACCGCGATCTGTTCTTCGTACCTTGTTCTCGCATCTATCGAACAATCATCGACGATTCGACTTGGAAATTTATCGATCGAGAAAGAAAAAAACGGTAGCACAATGCTCG